AGCAGATTGCTTTTAATGGGATAACAGTTTACTCAGTATTGATCTTACTGATCCACGAGCTTGAGAGATCTTCCTATCTTCTGATATCTTCTTCAATTTCTTTGATCAACATCTTAAAGTTTTTATTTTAAAAGCCTTTCATTTTCTTGGTTAGAGTTATCCTAAGATATTTTATATTATTTGAGGTTATTGTGAAAGACATTGTTTCCCAGATTTATTTATCAATTAATCTGTAATTTTATAGAGAGGATATACTGATTTTTGTAGGTTAATTTTGCATTCATCTATTTTGCTGTATTTCTTTTATTAGCTGTAAGAGTTTTCTGGTGAAGTTTTTAGTGCCATCAATGTATACTACTATATCATCTGAAAATGAAAACACGTGGATTTTTTCCTTTCTAATTTGTATCCCCTTGATCTCCTTCAGTTGTCTTATTGCTCTAGATAAGACTTCAGTAATGTACTGAATAGATATGGAGAGACTGGACAACATTGCCTTGTTCCTGATCTTAGTGGAAAACTTTGGGTTCTTCTCCATTTAAGTTGATGTTGGCTATGGGCTTGTTGTCAATTGCTTCTATTATGTTGAGGAATATCCCTTGTATCCCTAATCTCTTAGGACTTTTGTCATGAAGAGGTGTCAGATTTTCTCTAAGGCCTTTTCTGTATCTATTGAAATCATCAGGTGTTTTTTGTTTTGTTTTGTTTTTTAGTTTCTTTTTATGGTATATTTTATTTGTTGATTTTCATATGTTGAATTATCCCTGCATCTCTGGGGTGAGTGCTGTTTGATCATGGTAGATGCCCTTTTTGATGTGTCCTTGGATTATGTTTGCAAATATTTTAATAAGATTTTTTGCATTTAAATTTATATGGGATAATGATCTGTAATTCTCTTTTTTTGTTGGATCTTCATGTGCTTTGGGTATCAGGATGACTGTGGCTTCATAAAACAAATTGTGCAACAGTTTTTCCATTTCTGTTTTATGGAGTGATTTGAGGAGTCTACACATTAAGTCTCCTTTGACAGTCTGAGAGAATTCTTTACTACAAACATCTAGTCCGGGCTTTTGGTTGTTGTTTGTAGACTTTAAGTTACCGCTTCTGTTTCACTAGACATTATAACTCTGTTTAAATTGTTATCTTATCTCGATTTAACTTTAGTAGTAGATAACCAATAAAATTATCAATTCCTTTCAGATTTTCAAATTCATGGGAGTACAGATTTCAAAGTATGTCCTTAATATTCTCTGGATTTCCTCAGTATCTATTGTTATATCTCCCTTTCATTTCTAATTTTTTAAATTTGGATTTTCTCTCTCTGCCTTCTAGTTATTTTGGCTAAGGGTTTGTGAATATTACTTATTTTGGCAAAGATTTATTCATTATTTCATTGACTCTTTGTATTTTTATTTGTATTTTATTGATTTCAGCTCTAAATTTGATTACTTCTGGCTATCTACTCCTTTTTGTTGTGATTTCTTCTTTTTTCTAGGGTATTCAGGTATGCTGTTACAATACTGGTGTGAGATCTTACCAAATCTTTATGCAGGTACTTAATGTTGTACATGTGCTTTTAGAACAGGCTTCATTGTGTCCCATGTTTGGTTATATTGAATATTCATTTTCATTCACTTTGATAAAGTCTTTAATATTTTATAAATTCTTTCTTTATCCATTCTTCATTCAGTAGGGAGTTGTTCAGTTTCTATGAATTTGTAACCTTTTTGTTTTTCCTATTTTTGTTATTCAGTTTTAATATTTGGTGGTCAGATAGGATGCAGGGTGTTATGTAAATTCTATTGTATCTTTTGATATTTTCTTTGTGTCTGAGCATGTAGTTAATGGAGAAAATTGTATGAGCTTCTGAGACAAAGGTACATTCTTTTTTGTTTGGGTGAAAAGTTCTGTAAATATCCATTAAGTCCATTTGGTTTATAACATCTGTTAGCTTAAAAATTTCTCCGTTAGTTTTGGTCTGAATGACCCATCTCTTGGTGAGAGTTAATGTATTGAAGTTTCCCACTATCATTGTGTAAGGTTCAATATATACTTTATATTATGGTAGTGTTTCTTTATGAAATTGTGTGCCCTTGTGTTTGGTGCATAGATGTTAAGAATTGCAATGCCTTCTTGATGGATTATCCCTTTGATGAGTATTTATTGTCCTTCCTTATCTCTATTGGTTATATTTGGCCTGAAGCTTGTTTTGTCAGATACCAAAAAGACTGCAAGAGCTTGCTGTTTGGGTTAATTTACTTGAAAAATCTTTTTCTATCTATGGGGTGATATCTATCATCAATGTTAAGGTGTACTTCCTAGATGAAGCAAAGGATTTGGGACTGTTTTATACCAATTCTGTAAGTCTGTCTTTTTTATTGGAAGAAACGGGACTATTGATTTTGAGAGGTATCATTTAGCTGCTTTTAGCAGTCTTTCTTTATTCCTATTATTTTGGGGTGTGTGTGTGTGTGTGTGTGTGTGTGTGTGTGTGTGTGTGTGTGTGTGTGTGTGTGTGTGTGTGTGTTTACTTTTGTTTGTTTGCTAATCTTGGATTATTCATTCCTTGTTCTTTTCTTGTGTGTGTTTAACTCCTCCTGGTTGGAGTTTTCCTTTTACTGCCTTCTCTAGAACTGGATTTACAGGTAGATATTGCTTAAATTTGTTTTTTTCTTTGAATATCTGTTTTTATACATTGATTGTAATTGAAATTTTTCTGGGTATAGTAGTCCATATTGGCATCTGTGTTTTCTTGGAGTATGTAGCACATCTGTCCAGTCCCTTCTGTGTTTTAGAGTCTCCATTGAAAAGTCCATTGTTATAATTCTAAGAGGGCTTCCTTTATATGTTAGTCTGTTTCTCTTGCAGCTTTAAATAATATCTCTTCATTCTCCATGCTTAGTTCTTTTTGTTATTATGTACTGAGGGGAATTTCTTTTCTGGTCCAGTCTATTTGGTGTTGTGTTTCTTTTATACTTTGAAAAACATCTCCTTCTTTAGTTTAGAAAAATCTTCTTCTTTGATTTTGTTGAAATCTTTTCTTATCCTTTAACTTGGGCTTCTTTTTCCTCTAGTCCTATTGCTCTTAGATTTGTTCTTTTCATAGTGTCCCCTGCGAATTGGGTCAGAGAGTAAGGAGAGGTCACAACAAGCAGTCTGCTGAAGAATTGGCTATGTGACTGGGATATTAGATGCCGAGGAGAGGAAGGAGAGTGAAAAAGGTGAAGCTTACCTATGTGTTTCACCGGCCTACTTGCTTCTCTGATAGGCTTGGTTGGAGGGTTTCCAGAGAAATGCCTGCTGGAGTTGGTGGCTGAGATAACAGATGGATGTGGGGCAAGGTTGGAGGAGACTGTGTGGTTTGCTGCATATGGTTAGAAAGGAGGGAGATGCTATAGGAAGTAGTCTGCTATAGAGATGGAGTGAGACTGGGACATTGGATTAGGAGGGGAGGGGAAAGAGGTGATAATCCCAGTTAGGCTTCTTGATTCCCTTGCTGTAATAGTCTGATAGCTCCCAGGGAATGTCTGCTAGAGCTAGTGCCTTGGATAACATGTCGATTCGGGAGAAGATTGGAGGAGATGTTCTAAGAGATCAGTGAGAGATGGGGTTAAAATGGAAGGGAAGTGGCAGCATGTTGTATGCTAAAGAACTGGGCATAAGACTGTGGAGTTGGACTTGGAGAAGAGGAGGAATAGGTGAAGATATGAAGTTGGCCTACCTGCTTCCATGACAAGTCATTATGTGTCATTCTTGGCAATCAAAATATGAAACTTTTTCCAAATTTACAACATCCAGAAAAGTTAGAAATTGAAGCACATGTTTCATTAGAGTTTTACCATAGGATGAAATGCCTCATCATGGAAACAGAAACTTGGTCAGAAGAACCAGAGTTGTCAGCAGAGTAGTCTGGGATTAAACGTCTCTCCTGACAACTGGATTTTGGCTTTTGTTGTTTCAACTTCTTTCTATCCAGTTTATTTATTGTTTTAGAATTGTGATGGTTCTAAACCAATAAATGCAAGCAGGATTATAGTGGAACACTATTTTTATATTAAAAACTGGTCAAGTTCCCTACACCTCTTTCTTTTGAAACTGATTTATTGGATTCCACGCTTCACAGACATTGTCTTTATAGTTTTTGCATTTGTCACCTTTTTTTAATTTTTTTCCTTTATAAATAACAATTTCCAACCTATTTTAATTCATCAAGTTTGATGTTTCCTTACTGAAATGTTAAGTTTGGGTTTTTGCTAGAGTATGTTATTAATCCCTTAAAATTTTATCTCAGTATTATTTGCTGACTCCTGATATAGGGAAGCAAGTTAAGCTTGATTTACATGCAGAAAGTTTTTTATACTTGTAGTACTTGATAATAAAAAACATACATTTCATTATACATCACTAATTTTGTTCACTGAATTTTTTTCAAACAATCTTCTTCATGATCATTACCATATTTTAACAATGTCCGTTTTCACTAAATCTCTCATAAATGTTTACTATATGTACCTAAAGACATTTTTTTACCAGATCTGTTTTACTTCCTCTGTTCAAACAACACCAGGTCAAAAAAAAGGTACTGACATTTCTTTTCATTCTTCAATGGAGTACTAAATTTCAGGTTATATTTATTTACTTCATCACTAAAACACTTTCAGATACATGACAATGTTCTGTGACTTTCATTGTTACAGAAACCTTTATTTCAATGCACAATTTTAATACAATTCATTTTTATATACACTGTGTAACTGTTAATTTTATAGTGTTCTTCTGTTCATGTTAACTAGTTTAAATGCTCTCGAGAAATTCCCATAAGTATGAGCTACAACATATGCTTTCAGATCATTCATCTTAATCTTCTACGAGAGAAAAATAATGTTGCACATGAGAGTATTTTAAGGTAACTGATGAGAATATTGAAAGAGCAATAAATTGCTAGTCATAAAGAAAATATATTGATGTGTTAAGTGAAAAATCTGTCTCTTCTAATCCTAGTTTATCAGAGAAGGAAGGTAACAGTGAGTCATTTCTACTCCTGATGAAACCATAGTACCTGAGAGGACAAGGAGTGGGGGTTGTCACAGCAGGAGGCAGTGACCTGGCTTGCAAAGGTACCCCACTCTTCTCTTCCTGGGGTACACACAGAAATTCTTTCTTTAACATCTTTCTTTCTTTCTTTCTTTCTTTCTTTCTTTCTTTCTTTCTTTCTTTCTTTCTTTCTTTCTTTCTTTCTTTCTTTTTTTTTAAACAAAACCAGTGTTTACTCTAGGAAATTTATGGGAAAACATTAGTTTCCTATTCAAACTTAAAGCCATATTTTTGAATTTTTCTGTTTCCTACACCTATATTTCAGTTTCTTGCAGACTGAGAAAACATACCCATGGTTAACTTACCTCTGCTAAGACTTGCTGAAGGATATATGGAGGACGGTGACTAGAATAATGTATCCACACAGAGAAAGGTAAATTTCATGAGGAACTTCTAATTGATTCACCCTTCCATTTAATTTTTTGTAGAAAAAAATTCTATTTCCATGCCACTATTTCTTTCCTGAGGAATCTGCTTCTCTCTGCACTTCCAAGCTAGTCTCCTATAGGAGGACTAGATAGGAATGAGGATCCCTGTGAATCTCAGTTAAGAGTTCTTCCCCTGATAGCTGGGCCGCCTGGTGGCACATGACTTTAATCCCAGCACTCTGGAGGCAGAGCCAGGTGGATCTCTGTGAGTTCAAGGCCAGCCTGGTATACAGAGTGAGATCCAGGACAGGCACCAAAACTACACAGAGAAACCCTGGCTTGAAAAACAAAACAAAACAACAACAAAAAAAAAGTTCTTCCCCTGTAACTTTGCTAATACTGTGTTATGCCTTGTGTTTCATGAGTCTCCATCCAGCCTGATTTGATGTTAACTCTCTCATTTTTCTTTTAAAACATTGTGACCTGTATAAAGTTCATATTATTCCAATAAAGCCTCCTCTGTATTAAGAGAAACTTTCTTATTGATTGGAAGAAAGCTATGCAGTTATTGACACTTGCACCATTATAGCCTGTATAATCAAGACCTGGATCTGTATATTTAAGTAATAATTTTCTTTTTCTTTTTTTTTTTTTTTTTCGAGACAGGGTTTCTCTGTGTAGCTTTGCGCCTTTCCTGGGACTCACTTGGTAGTCCAGGCTGGCCTCGAACTCACAGAGATCCACCTGGCTCTGCCTCCCAAGTGCTGGGATTAAAGGCGTGCGCCACCACCGCCCGGCATTAAGTAATAATTTTCAAAACAAAGGCCATGGCATAAAGGCAACAATTGATCATCACAGATCACACTTAAAATTATCAGGAAAAAAATCATTTTCAAAAAATTAAACTTCAGAACAATGGTACCTAAAATTATAGAACATGATTTCATAATGTGTAAAACAGACATATTATACAAACAGGAAAAGTAATCACTTAACAATTATGAAAATAAAATGGTGAGCAAAACTGACATTCTTTGCTCAATATTGCCATAATAGTGGCAGTATAGCTATTGTCCAGACTTTGAAAAGAAAATAACACAAAATTAAAGGGGATACACAATAAACAGATTCAGGGATTAAACTAGCCAAAGAGTTTTAAGTCTTATAGTCAAAGTTGTGTGAAAAATACAATGATACTGTCTCATAGAACTTTCATCTCTGCCGGCTCAGCAGCTGCCCCATCAGGCTGACTGTGCTGAGGATGCTGCCAGTTCATTTGTTGACCTTAAGCTTGCCTTTCTTACCACAAACAAAATGTCTGTGACACAGACTGTTTGTAGGAAATGTTCATTGTTGGGTAGAAGACACAAGGTAACTCAGGGCTGATGCTTTCATTCAGGTGCGTGGACACTGACACTGGAGGGCTGCTAAGTGCCCCTGCCAATCTCCATTGTCTTTAATCTCTGCACTCACCACCCCATCTGATCAACAGGTATGTGCTTGTTCTGTGATATTGACTACAAGTTTTCTGTTTTCCTAAGAGAAAAACCACGTAAATCTCAGTGAGAGTGATGTACTTCAGGACAATTTCTTCTCACCTTTCTAAGGTATTTCTTTGTTACAATTTGAGACACGGTCTTCAATGATCACATAATCAGCTGGGAAAAGCAGAATTGGTATCAGTTTAATGTCACTTGCTATATCCCTCATAGTTTCTCATCATTTTCAGTTGCATACTATCTGGATAGATAGTCCCTTTGGTATTATTTCATTCTCTTATCCATTTTTTTAACCAACCTAGTCAAATATACTAACATACAGATTGCAGCAAAATGTTTACTTGACCTTTGTGTTATAAGGAATAATAATCACTGAAGATCTGATAGAAAGCAGATTATTTTAATAATGTTTTTAAGTCATTGATAATCTCATTTAATGTATTTTAATCACACATACTCACCACACACACACACACACACACACACACACACACACACGCACACTCACACACCTCTCTCAGATCCACTATTCTTAACTCTCTTGACGTACTGTTATTTCAGATTTCCTAGTCACCAAGTACTCTTCTCTAAACTTTGCCCTTTCATTTCATGCTATTGTCCTGGTAAACAACATGAGTTTGTTATATTTAGAAGGCAAAAATGTTTCTTCTATTAACTGTAAGTTCAACTAGCACACTGTCATTTAGGTGAGCAGCACAGGAGGCTGGCCCCCTGCTAAAGACTGCTGTGTAGCTCATATGCAGGCATGGGTATGCTCTGTACATGCAGAAATGGGTTTTAAGCTCTCTTGCAGGAAAAGGTAATAATAAGAGATGATCATCTCAATTGCTTTGCTCTGTTGACATTGTCAAACTAATTTTGAAAAGATGAAACTTTAATAAACCAGGAACAGTATTTTGAAAATGTATTATATTTTAAAAATTTACTTCTTTGTTTTCATTTGGCAGAAAATATTCATCCTTTATTTAAAAAATAAAATCAATGAGTAAGAAACTTTAAACTCATAAATCAAGAAATGAACCTACAGTTATTTAGGGGAAATAAATTGAAAGAATATAAACCAGAAAAGTGCAAATTGGTTTTAAAAATACAGTTTAAAATAGCTATCAAATGCAGTGCAAGCTCTGTAAGCTGCAGACGGCTTTCTGAATAAAATATGAAGACATGGAGCTCTGTGACTATCTATCTCGGTTAGTTAAAAAGGAAAAGGGAAAAAAAAAAAACGGTTTGAAGGAAATCTCTAAATAGGGCATATACTATCTGCCCAGGGATAAACAAAGTAGCCAGCAGTGACAGTGTTTGCTTTTCATGTGCTGGAGCCACAAGCAAACAGGAGGCCTCAACACTGGCAGCTCCTCATTTGCAAATGAAGACGTGAAAGGCAGCACTGGTGACAGGGCATGCAACAGTTCATATTTGAAGTTTGGCACAGTGAACTGACAGCACCGAGGAGCTGCCGAGGAGGCCTAATCCTTCCTCTCTGCCTTCCAGCAATGATAGGTGGGGAAGGAGGTGGGGTGGGGTTAATAAATATGTGATGAGGCAACGCTGTAAAAGAACGGCACATCTCCTGCGCAGGAACTCATCTTCAGTGATAATTAACTAGGTGACAACACACAATGCACCCTTAACAAAAGCATTCAAGTCATTGCTGGACTTAAGTACAGTTTTAAGCCGCTTATCAGATTTTCATTTCTGAATCTATTCAGCTGTCAGGCTAACATCCTGGCTCTTTATTGAAGCTCACATGGGAATCCAAAACCTTCTAATTTTCTATACAGATTCATTTCAGAATCAATTAGAGCTGGTGGCAGGCTTGTCCCTGTGTGCAAAGGGGATTAGCTGGGCACTTGCTCAGCTACCTCGGGATGTACATTCAACCTTCCATCGTGAATGAGCTTTCTCCCTCTTTAGAGGACTCTTCAGCAGTGAACCGCTGTAGACAACAGATGGCAGATAATCACCCGAACAGCCTCCAGTTTTGTCAGGAAAGGAGAAGCGATCATCTTCCTCTCTCTTACAGTAGGTAAGAGACCCCCAGGCACCCAGAGCATGCTCTGCCTGTGAAATAGGGAAATCTGCAGCGCTCCTTTTCTCTCCCAGCCTTTAAACTGTGTCATCTGTGAGTCCTTGTCGCTGACATCCTGTCAGCAACCACTGCCTCAACCCCAGCTTTGTGCCTTCACAGTCCATATTTTGCCTCACCCAAGTTTCACTGAAATCATCATCCTATCTGCATGCTGCCAAGGTTATCTTTAATATTAATGTTGAAACTGTTACTTTTTCAGAAGAGTTATGTTGCTTGTCAAATGCTAATATGTTTTATATTGGTTATTATACAGAAAAATCATTTTATTTAGTCTAAAAATATTGTCAATAGTTACCAAGATAGCCTTCCACAGTGGACACCGTGCACATTAAGATGTATGCTTATTTATCTTTGTTCTCCTCAATGCAATGATCTTCACAAAAAATTCCTATTAATATTTAATTATGATGATTACTTTTTAACGTACTAAGACACTTTATGTAATTTGTTTACAACAAATAAAATAAAAGTTTCCAAAGTGTGCAGCAAATCATATCATCCTCCATTTAGTGACTTTGCAAGGTCTTAGAGGTTTCTTCTGGCATTTTCTGTCATATATTACTATTTTTTAATCTTTGGATCTCAGATGGTATGTATTAACAGATCCCCAGTATTTCCAGTATTTCAACTTAATGTGTGAGTTCACTAAAGCTGCCATTTTGCTGTGTGACCTTCTACTTCTACATAACTACACATTACAACTACACATATATGCTTACATTCACATATACATGTATAAATTGTCTTCCTCCACACTATGTACACATGCACACACCACACAGACATTTACATATGTGTACCACATACACACACATATAAACACATGTGCATGAACACTCAGCTACACATGCATATACACTATAGATGCATACACCCACATACAAACACTGTACACATATACATTCACTAATTCAAATGAAGACATCACTGATGCCGTGCAATCACCACATTTGCTAGCATCATTCTTCTTCTGTCCTAGTGCTTGACTACTGATAATTTCCTCAAGTACAAGCTGCTTGGGTTTAAGAGACACAGTATTAATTTATGCAGGTACTTACAAAAATAACATACTTCTAACTAAACTATTATACAATGTACTCTTATTTTTAAGATTTTTTTGTATTACACTGATTTTATAAGGTCTTTTAAATTATTTTTTTTATTTTTATTTTATTTTATTTTACAGTATAATTTAATTCTACATATCAGCCATGGATTCCCTTGTGTGTCCTCCCTCCCTTCCCCCCAGCCCACCCTCCATTTCCATCTCCTCCAGGGCAAAGACTTTTAAGCCTAACTTATATGTGCATTTTATCACAGTTTTGCCTATAGACAAGAGACAAATTGGTTAAAGCTTTTATAATAAATTATTCTTATTTGGGATTTGACTTAAAATTACTTATAAATCAGGATGTTTTAATGATTTAAAAACAATATCATTCTATACAGTATCACAAGTATAATGCAAAAGACACCTCTATTGGTGTTATCTGTTGTTTTTTTTTTCCCCAAACCTCTAATAACCTGATATTATCTTGATCATAAGAGGAAAGATCTAAGAAGCTTCATACCTAAGTGGTATTCATGCTTTTTCTCCACAAGTGTTAATTAGTTTGTTACTTGAAAAGTCCAAGTGCCATCTTGGTCTAGGCATGTCAGTGAGATGCAGGCAAGGGCAACAATGTCATACATGATGCCTATTCAAGAGTACTTTGAGACTTTCTTGCTGCCCTGCATGGTGGCACATGCCTTTAGTCCCAGCAATCTGGAGGCAGGTCAAATAGATGTCTGTGAGTTCTAGGTCAGCCTGGTTTACAAAGTGAGTTTCAGACCAGCTGGAGCTAGTTCATGGAGAAACTCTGTTTTGTTAAGGAAAAAAAAAATCTTGCATATAATAAAATTATAATCTTATTTCCAATATGAAAAAGTAAGAAAAACACATTATTACTGATCAGGTCAATGAATATACCTCCCTCAATTTCTGAAACAACTATGGATTAAAGTTCCATTAAAGGACTTATGAATGTTGAGGACCCAGAAAGCTAATATGTGCTTAACACACTTGCTGATTTTTATTGCACACAGAAGTTTGTTCTTAGTAAGTTTCATGACATTTTTTATGCTGATTTCTTTGTTATTTATCATCCAGTAAAGCTTCCCTCATGATTATCCAGGTGAAAATTTGAACTTAGCATTGCCTAATATGTCAGGATATTTCTATTACCTTTGGTGTTTTCCCTGCTAGGCCTTATCTCCTGTGCTCAGTGTGGATGGCTGCATGGTCCTTTCATGCCCTCCTTTAACATATAACAAAGCTAATCATTATGCAATGCTTTTTCCTTCCTCATGAAATGCATACTCCAAGTGGCTGTGAAAACAGTATTCATGGAAGGGAAATGTTTGGAATATCTTTGGTTTGGTGATTTGAATGGACAGCAAATTAAAATGAAAGAGAAACAATTTAAATGTTGTTCATGAACTGTTAAATGAATTCATACACATGATTCACACAAAGTGGAATACTATTCAGTGCAAAAAGACTGATAGCTGCCTGATAAACAATAGAAGAGAAACAGGGATCATTATATTAAATGAGATAATCCAGGCACAGAAAAGCAAGTTTCATATGATTGCTTCCCTATGGAGTCTCCAAACAACAATTTCATGGAATCTGAATGTAGAGTGGTCTCCACTAGAAGATGAGAACTAAAAAGGTGAGGAATGTGTAAAGGTTGCTAGATGAGTCTTAAGTCTTAGAGATCAACGACCAAAGGTTTGGGAATATTGCATCACACAGTATGATGACTACTGATAAAATAATGCTTACTGCATTTGAAGAGCCACACAAAGAATTCTGAAATCTAACACTAAAAACAAATGATAAGTGTTTGAGTAGATAAACATGGTTAACTTGATTTAAACATTACACATGAATGCACTTATTGAAACATTACCTGTAACCTCATATGCGCAAAACATCAGCTAAATGTTTAAAATTAAGTATGGACTTTACTAAAGCTTTTACCATTTAAACATTTAACAAGGTCAAACCATTTTCCATCAGAAATGATATTTTATTTATCATAATTCTTCCTCCATTTTGGCTTTAGCCTCTTAATTTATAAGAAGACTCACCCAGGTCTTCACCATTTAGGGGTTCTTACTATAATCACCCTCAGAAGCCCATTCATGATGTTATAGATTTTTTTAAAAAAAATAATGGCAGGGTTCCTCTGTGTTGCTTTGCTGCCTGTCTTGGAACTCACTTTGTAGGCCAGGCTGGCCTCGAACTCATAGAAATCCACCTGCCTCTGCCTCCCAAATGCTGGGATTAAAGGCGTGTACCACCACCGCCCAGCGTTATAGCTTTTCTTAATCCTCGCCATTTTACAAATTCTTTCAGCTTCTACTCATTATGCTTCTGTCCAAAGACTCAGATATTTTCAAACGTTTGCTATGAAAAGAGTCATAGTATCAATTCCTGTCTTTATTCATTTTCTACTGTTGTGGTAAATAGCACATCCTGAGTAATTTTGAACACTAGTGGTATAGAAAGATGGTCAATTTAGAAGATGAGAGTTGAAGAACACAGAGCCAGCATCTGATAAAGGTCACACTTCACAAGAGCAAGTGAACACATATAGAAGCAGGCTGCTTGGCTCCACACTCACTGTTATATTAAACCCTGCTCTTGTTAATTTTCTCCTAACTTAGTGATGTGGGTTTCCAAAAAGGCTTTTACATATATATATTTTCCCCAACACCATCCCATTCTCTCCATCTTCCCTCAACTTCATTCATGATTAAACCTTAAACCCTGAAAATTCTCTTGTATTTGTTCATACAATGTTTGTTTTAACATCCCTTCGATGACCCATCATTTGGGTTAATGTTCTCCAACACCTATTCATTTCCTCTCATCCCTGTCTACTTGCTTTTTCATGACACAAGGCAAGTATCTTTCTCTACAGAATAAAACAACAACAATGTTGCTAAACTTCTTCATCAGACATGAAGAGTTGGGGATGTATATATTATATATCAAATACACACTGGATTTTGAAGACTTTTCAAATAATGAAAATCTAGAATTCACAAATATTCACTGAAATGTCAATGTCAATTTATATTTTGCCTAGGCAACCGTCATACTGATCTTATACTTTCAGTGCTTTGTATATCCACGTTGCCTCATTTCTGTATTACTAACTATGCTGCTTCTTCTGTTTTTATTAGTACATAAATAGTAACAAATCTCTTCAAAGCAAACAACCAGCAAAATCTTGAAAACACATGTTTTGCCCCAGACTTTTCTATTTTCTCTTCAAATAGGCAAATATATCATTTTAAAAATTCAATGCATACCCCTCCTATATCTATTAATATTTATTTACTCAAGAGTAGGCAAGCTAGTATTTCTAGGAGCAGGGGCATAAACATTAATTACAAATATGAAATGTAAAGTATTCAATTCCTGTTTACAAGAAAACTACTTATAGAAATTCATCTTAAATTATATTGAATTTGAAAGAATAAACATTGAAAAATGTAGGCAATGAACTATTTCTTAACATTGACAGTCCTAAAAAAAAGGCCCTTTGCATTTTGAGTTGGAAAATTCCTGGTTAAAATGCTCAGAGGAAGTTTTAATTTTGAAATGTTATTTTAGAAGCTTGCTAATCCTGTATCTACCATGCTAAAGAAAGCAATTAGTCAACAAATATTGTTTACTGTGTTTACAGAATTAAGGAAATCTTAAGGTCATAATCCTAACAGATTTTTTTAATTCTATAAAATAAAAATTTTTAATTCTATAAAATAAGCCAGACATATGGCCATGCAAGTGAAAATCCTAACTAGCAAATTGAAGAATTGTGAGTTTGAGGTCAGGCAGGGCTACTTCACAAGACTTTGTGGAGAAAGGCAGGGGTGGAAGA